TAAGACCACATATACACAAATTGTATCATGTATTTTTGTTGTTGAAGGAAATACCTAGACTCAGAAAACAATAGCAACTGATACTTGCTTCGTCTCATATATTGGACCATGTTTACTCAGGTACTATATGTGCCCTTAATTAAGTAAAACAAGTACTGAACAGGTATTGTTGCAGTTGGACGCGGCCTCAGGACTCAATGAGTATAGGTGAGATTGTAAAAAAAAAAAACTTGACCTAGCCCATGATTTTCAAGGTTCTGAGACTTCTTTATTTTTTAGTTTTTTTAAATACACGTTAAATTACTGAATTATGATAAGTGAACACTTTCCAGTAACAGCCAGAGTCCTCAACCCATGATGGAGCCAAAAATTCACTGGACCAAAAAAAGTTTTTTTGAACATTTTAAAGCCATTATCCAAAATGTAGAAAATATGGGTGAAGCAACAACAAATTTCAATTTTTAGTTGGCCTGGCAAGTTTTTAGCACCTTGTGACATGGGTGGAGAACTCTGGCTGTATCTCAATTTTGGGAGGGGGAGAAAGACATTCACAAATTTGTCCATTTTTTCTACTTGGGTGGTTTTCCACCTGATTACATGGTTATCATATATCCTCATGAAGTTGAGCAAATGATTTTTGCCAGAAATACAGTACTTGAATGAATAAGCTATCAAATACTGTACAGTCAACCCCCATCTAACGGACTTGATTTGTGCAAGGGACAAGTCTGTTAGACAAAAAGTCCTTTACACAAATTCAATTACATAAAAAATTTCAATTTTCAACACTAATTTTAAACCAAAAGAAGTCTGTTTGGCAGATTTTGTCTGTTGGGCGGGAGGAAAAACTGCTTGCAGAGCTGGTCTGTTTGGCAAAAATCCCTTACACGGGAGGTCTGTTAGGTGGGGGGCCACTGTATTATGTGATATTCATGCATGTTCTTACATCAGTATATAAACATGAGCTTCTAAGTATGTGAAAATTTATGAATTTTTCTGAAGTCTTGATCTGTTCAGTTCTATTTTTTTTATATACAGTGAGACCCCCACATGGGGATACCTCAACATGGGGACAATTTGACATTGGTACATTTATTTTTCAATAGAAAAATCATTAAAAAGTCCCAAAATATGGACACTGACTTGACATGAGGACATTGCATGATGAAATTGCCAATAAATTTGAGGAAAATTGACTTTTATTAGGCTTAATTGCAAGAAACAGATATTTCCAACCCTAAGATCTATGCAAGAAAAATGTGTTGGTACTATTCCCATCAATTTCCCATCCATTCAGCTGATATGAAGAAATCACTTGTATTATTAAAGAAAGACTTCCTTCTCTCTTTTGTGACTTGGATGTTGTTTTTACAGATGCCAACATTTCAATGAACTGTACAATGCTCCAAATGTTCTTATTGGGTTGAAAAGAGATTCACTGAACCAAATTCAAGTGGCAAAAAATGCTTTTTTTCATGGAATTCTGGAGAATATTTCTTCCATAAAACGCCAATTAAAAATTATATAATGTAAGGATATATGGGAAAACAAGACTTGACTTAGGGATAATTCAACTTAGGGACAATCTTGATGCACCAATCATGTCCGCATCTGGGTGTCTCACTGTTTAATAAATCTCACAAGGAATTACACATTTTTTAATGTCCCCTTCATCATTCCATCTGATTGTGCCTTGAAAAAAATTACTGGCTCTCATCAAGCCTTCAGAAAACAGAAAATTTTTGTTTCCCAAAAATGTCCCAGTTGATTTCTTCTGGAATGAGACTCATGACGCCATTAATTCCTGTCATATTTTTTCTCTGCCATTTTTTTTTCCTTCAGGGAACGGTAATTGGAGACCGTGCGTGGAAGTGAGTACACAGGTGCCGTTTTGCGCCAATAATGGGACTTGCTTGGAAATGGCAGCGTCAGTGTTGCCAACTAGAGATTTCAGAGCATCTGCGGACTCACAGAATCGTCACATGTTCAGTAATGGGAAAAATAATGATGGGGTCATCAGATCGTGTCTTTGTCCCCCGGGTTTCGGCGGGACTCGTTGTCAAGGTATGCTTTCAAATGAATGTCGAGTTTTTCTCAACGAACTGATATCTCAAAATTGTAGTAATTTTTTTCTATAAATATGAGCTTCGATTCTCGAACCTGTTCTTTTTAGTTCGTGAAAAATTTCCTCAAAATGTGAACACATGCAGTTGAGAAACGTCGAAATATTTTCACCTGAAGTTTGGAACAGCACTCATTTTCTTTCAACTGCCTAATTCTCTGGAAAGGAGGACTAAATCGAAGAATTAACGAAATGTTGAAATTATTAGAGTAAAGTGAGACCCCCAGATGTGAACTTGATTTGTTCCTTGACTTTGTCCCTGCTTGTGAGAATGTGCATGTACATGTTAAATCACATTTTCCCATAGACTTCAATCAAACCATCTTCAATTGGTTTCCCTTTTTGTCAAACATTTGGAAAAAGCCCCAAAAATTGAATGAAATTTTTTCCCGTCAAAAACAGAAAGTAACTGCACACAGCAGAAAACTGCACAAACTCTGCTTTTAGTATGAAAAAATAATAAGCAAAAAACACTTTCCTTTATATACTGTGCAAAGATGATGGGAAAGTCCCCAAAAAAGAAGTGCAAAATTAGTCTGTTTTGGCTTGTGAACTAGAGGAAATGGATAGTAAGACTTATTTTGAATGTTTGTTATATTACAAATGGCTGACTGTGTTCAAGAGAAATCACAATTTTGAAAAAATGGAAGAGTTCCCATTCATTCCAGAAATGTTGATAGTTTTTATATCTTCAGACATTGTTCAAATATTGTGAAATACTTCAGAGTTGCAAATTCTCCTTATTCCGTTGATGTGTGGCAAAGTTGGGATACTTTTTGGCAAATTTTGTCCCCATGAGCGTTGCAAATTAAAAATATCTGATTTTGTACCAAGACCTAAATTGGGAAAAAGTTAAGTATTTTTTTGAATATCTTGCAGAAAATTGTGCCTGTAAAACAAGAAACAATTCCTCAATGGATGGCAATTTTCCATGCATTCCCAGGTTGAAATTAATATTGGTAATTTCTCCAGACAATGGGATTTTCTGCACTTAGATTTTTCCCAGCTTAGGCCTTGGCAACCTAAGGGTCATATTGGGTCATCCATATGTCAGGGTCCAACTGTGTAAAAGTTCCCATACACCAAGAGGGCCAGAAATAAATTTTGGGCTTATTATTAAACTACAGCAGCTTCACTTGAACCAAGTAGGTTAAAAAATTGTTAAAAAAAAAATTAAATTCAATTTTTGGAGGTATACTTACCATTTTAAATTATAAACTTCAGATTGTGAATATACTCTGGTTGTTGAAAAAATACTTCTTTAGGAATAGGTTTTTCTCAGAAACGCCCAAAGCAGTTATACTCTGACTAATGAGACATGAAAAATGATGCACCCTTTGAAAGGCTGTGATCTTGTAATATTTCTTCTCATTTTTCTAAAATTAATGAAAGCATAAATCTACAAAACGAAACAGATCAAGGAAAAATGGTGGTGATTGACGTGGATTGTGGAGAGACGGAAATAGTGGCAGAAGACGGAATCATCATAGAATTCGCAGCCCTCGGCGTTCTTCCGGGTTATCCACCACCAGACACGTGTCCGTCTAGGTTCACAGACCGGAAACCCGGTGGGGTTCATCAATTGCAGGACGAACCCGGCAAGGGGTTCAGCAAGACCGGGTTCGGACCCTCTCGGGGTTTGCTGGGCAATTTCAACGACACGGACGGACGGAATTTCTCGGGTTCTTGCTACTCGGAAAGTACATTGGCTTTACTTCGGTTCTGGTGAGAGAAAGCAAATTTACACATTTTTCAAATAGTGTCTCGGTCAATGAACTTCAATCAGTTAAAACTCAATACTGTAATCACAAAAGTGTATTTCAACCAAGAGATGTAGAGCTAAGAGCTAGGAAAGTTTAATTCTTTCCAGATAACCACTCAGATTTCGCTGGAATGATTATTTACTCCATTTCCTTTCAGAATTTATTACGCATTTTTTTATGAGATGAATGACAAATAAATATATGCTTTATTACTTATAGATCACTGTTTTTTCAGGTGCCAGGGAAAAACAAAGTGTGATGTCAACTTCAATAGCCTGACAATTATGCATGACAGTCCACCTTATTTCTGTCCCCCTGAAGCAATGGGCAGGTAAAGTCACACATTTCAACCTTTTAAGTCCAAAATATCTCTAATTTTAATGTTAGTCAATCCTGATCACTCCAATACATAGAGAGTAATGCACATAGGTATCATGCCACAGATTTTGTCCTGACCCACTTTAACATTAACAATTACAGTGCCCCCCCCCCCGCCTAACAGACCTCCCGTGTAAGGGATTTTTGCCAAACAGACCA